CCACTGAGATAACTCGCAATCATTTTCCACTTATTCATTACTGGAAATGGCAAAAGATAAAGTGTCCAAGGGGAGGCTGGGAATTGGAATATTTTTTAAAAGAAGATTCATCTACCACTGGAGGATAATATCAGGTGAACATACACACAAACACACAGCATTTTTATGCTTGAAATACCCATCTGAAGGCCCGGTGTGTCTTACATGGATTACCTCTTTTCTTTCACTCTCCAGATTAGTGCTTTTTTAAAACGGAAAAAGACAGATTTACCGCCATATTAGCAGGTTTTCCTCGACTCAAGATGGTTTGAGAAGCTGTCATTGGAAACTGTTTGGGAAAGAGGGAAGGCAGTTTCAACAGAACTTGGCAGGTGATTTGAAAAGCAGTATCTCTTCACCTTTTCCATTGAGAAAAACCTTCAGTTCTTCTTTTGATAAAGAAATAGAGAGTGGTGTAGTGATGAAGTTTTTTTGTTGACTGGAAGTAAGAATCGCAACGGGTCCTTTGACAAAAAGCAGTTGGATTTCCCTGTTGGATTTTGGTATATTGCGGAATATAAGCTTTGTGGCCAACACACATTTATGATACTTCCATGTTTTTTTCAGCATGATAATCTCCACATATTAATGCCACTCTGGCACTTTGAAGCGTGAATGATATCGGCAGGAATACAAAGCTAACGTAATGCTATACACAAACTACATCATGTCGCATGGCATTTACTGTAGTCGTTTATTTTGTCACTTGTTAGCAACCCGCCTTTTACTGACACATACACTTACATTCTCCATTCGCGAGTGGAGTATTTTCTGACGTATTTTCTGTCATAGAACAATATCTTAAAATCTCTTCAGCTTGCCTTAACCCTTACACTTTCAAATAACCACCTACTTCGAGACAAGGGAACCAGAAGTGTTAAAATGCTACGTTTTTCCCGTGGTTTTAGGACACATTAATGCACCATTCACCATCAGTACTCACCTTTTTCGGAGCCATCTCTGTTTCAAACAGTCGTCTCTTTGTGTCTCGTCACCTACACCACGGCCCTAGCTGCCATTTGCTCTTCAAAGGACGATGATTGGTTGGTTTCACTGTGGTTCCTCGGAGCATTACATCGTGGATTTACGTGGGATCTTTTGATCCTTCAATTCTCGTGTGATTTCTCAGAGAATTCAGCTGCTGTGCAAGGTACATTTTTGTATTTCTTTCCATATAAATGTCAGGCTTCATTCTGTTCAAACCCAGTTTCCAAAGCAGAAATGTTCATTGAAGTTGGTTATCCGTGCCGTGCTGCTGACTTATGTGTGAATAGAGAAGGCCATTCAGCAGGAACGGTGACACAATAAATGTTGACACTAAAACATGCATGCACGAGTAGAAAATGCACGCTAAACAACACACACACACACACACACACACACACACACACACACACACACACACACACACACACACACACACACACACACACACACACACACACACACACACACACACACACACACACACACACACACACACCGGTGAACTGGCGGGAGTAAAGGAGACGTGTGATTGGTCCTGCCTGCAATCCAGAGCTTTTGGAGGATCAAGCTGTATCTTATCTCTCTGGCCTGATGGGCTAACCTCTGTTCTGCCATCATTCTCTCTCTCTCCTCTCTCTCTCTCTCTCTCTCTCTCTCTCTCTCTCTCTCTCACACACACACACACACACACACACACACACACACACACACACACACACACACACACACACACACACACACACACACACACACACACACACATACACATACACATATACACACACACACACACACACACACATACACATACACATACACACACACACACACACACACACACACACACACACACATACACATACACATACACACACATACACACACACACACACACACACACACACACACACACACACACACACACATCCCTCACAATTCTCCAACTTACCAACCCCTTTATATTTCATGACTGATCTTTTAAATCCCAATTTGACTTTTCGAAGAGCTAAAAGAAAGACTGTTAAAATCCTGTTTGCAGATCAATTCAAACTATTTCAGCCAGATTTATTTATTTGAAGCCATAAATTGTTATACTTCCGTCTGCAAGCCGACACTCATCTCTGGTTTATGATAATCAAAGCCCACTTGCTAAACAGTCAGACTTAGACACAGAGACAAATACAGAAAGGCAATTAAGCAGTGGAAAATGCTTTAGTGAAGAACACAACATGATTAAACTAGGGAGGGTTTGCCTATTTTAAAACCCTATTTTCCCGTGGATGTGTTTATTGCCTTGTTCGGGTTTGATTCTGGATTTAAATAAACACCATTAAACTCCAAATGTATCTTAGAACAAAAACAGCAAATAAAAGTTTGACTGTAAGGAAGAAGGCTTTCTGAATCAGTCTCTAATAAAAGGAGAAGTTTTCCTATAAGTGTTCATTCTCATTATTCTTCCAATGCTTCTGGTCATGTTAAACCAGCAGGATGTGAAGTCATGCAATGCTCAATCACTGACACATGTGAGACCAATCTGAACAGAGGCTCAGAATAGAAAGCAGCACCGAACTAGTTGAAATAATACCTCATACTAATTTAAAAAAGTGAAATTGTGTGAGAGGCTCCGATGAAACATGACATTCATGTTGTAAAAACATGCAGTGGATAAATATTGCCGGATCATCTCAGATAACAAAACAAACCCAGACGATGCTTGCAGACTTTTATCTGTTTAAAAGCTCATACACTGATTACAGTTGGTCAAACAAACACAGTCACATTGTTTCCTGCACTGTGTGTGTGTACAGAAGCACACAAACGCTCCATATGTCACCTGTGTGTGTTCCTGTGAGGACATAATGCAATCAAGGACATCAGTATCAAATAACCAAAACTGTTGCGGTCGAACAATTTGATATAGAGAGAGCCTTTGGGGGTTGAATTGCAGAATGGCAAACTAAATCTTTAATAAAAATAAAATAAGGAAGAAAGACGGAAAGCTCTGGGCTGATTTCTATATGCTAGTGTGTGTGTGTGTATGTGTGTGTGTGTGTGTTGAATAAGATTTAGCCTTGCCATTCAGGCGCTTCTTCCCAAGGATCAGCCGTTGTGAAGGATTTGATGAGTGCAGGTTTGATTTTGCAGGTACTTTATATATCCAGAGTTTTGCGTCATTGAATCAGACCGTTCTGAACCGTAGAGCGTCGATCACACAGAGAAAAAGGACCGTGAAGATGGTTTGAAAAGTACGTTTTTTAAGACGCCACATTCACAAAGTTCGAAAAAGGGCTGCTTTAGGTGTTCTGAAAGATATATTTCTTATCAAAACCACAAGAGAGCTCCATAACATGGTATTTCTAAAGTAAAATCCAAGAGTAAATGTTTACAATTCAAGCCCCTGACACTTTTTCGATGGCATTAAACTGAATGTTGGTGTTACTTATAGTTATTGTTCACACTTTGACTTCGCTTACACAATAAGGTTGGCCTGTTTTCCCAAATCAAATAGTCAAATATATCTGAAATGTTTATATTTAGTTGCAAGGACTTGGGCGGACCAAGACCTTGATTGTTTCCTTCCTCTGTGTCTATTTTAAAAGAACATTATCATCGGTATCTTCGGTGGCTGACAGTTGCAAACAAACTAAACAAACTGGAAACTGACCTAAAATATACGTTTTATTGGCTTATTTAAACAATATGATCACATGATTCCTTCAAGTACTATTGCAGATCTGGTGTAAACTAGCTAGCTAACCTCATTTCAAATTATTGACAAAACACAATTATGAAACAGGCTATTTGCATGCATGTGTTTTGGCACATTTGTGTTTTTATATATGCTCAGTATTTCGTGGTGTTTTTGGTCGTTGTAGCACGTTTGCCCCTGTCGTCCACCGTACAGTACATATCCTTAATCCTCAGTAGGCATAGTTATTGAGATTTCTACTTTAGTGTATGTATGGTATGGCATTTTGAAATGAAACCATGTTTTAAAACATTATTTGTCATTGATTTCTCCAGGCAGCATGGTGAAAAGAGGGTACTACCTGCTACTTACTGTAGGTAGATATATTGGTGAATACTGGTATGAAGCCAGTTTACACCATGTGTGAAAAGGCCAACAAATAAGTGAAGTAAACCAGACTGATGTACATGCATGTTGCTTTGAGGGAGTCATAAATGTCTTTGAAGCAATCAACCGAAACAACTGTTATTTTGAAAAATCTTTACCAGAATTGCAACCATTTTTTACTTTTTGTCACCAGAAACATTTGGCTGTAAGTTCATACAGAGATTCAAAAGCTTCCAATTCATAGGATACAACATAGAGACATTTATTTGTTTCAATACCCAAAACCATGTGTTCTCCCTCCCTTCAGCCCCAGAAAGCAGCATTGTTCATTGATAACCAAAAATGGAAAAACAAACAAAACAAAATGTCAGATTAGTTCCACTTGTGGTGATTTCTTTATGTCCTTCTTTATGTCCTTCATCTGACCATCCAACAATGAATGCACAAGTGAGTGTGTGTGCGTGTCTGTGTGAAAATACCATTTGTAAAAAAAACTAAAGTAATCTAGATTGGTTCGGCCAATAGGGAGTCAGCGTCCATGTAAGCTGTCTTTAACAATCTCCCAAATCTGACCAACTGTAGAAGCTTCCAGGTTTTTTCTTCTTCTCTTGCTGCATTTCAGCACGCACGCACGCACGCACGCACGCACGCACGCACGCACGCACGCACGCACGCACGCACGCACACACACACACACACAAACCTCACGGCCGGGGAGTTTTTGTTTGTAAATCCTTTAAGTGTATTCTTGGCTGGGTAGACAAGTTTTTCAAAAGGTAAATCGGTGAAGAAGCTCCTTCCTTGTCGGCCATATTGGATTCTGTACAGGCTCACAGAATCGTGCGGCGATAACGAAGTCTTTCTCTTTCTCTTGAGCCGAAACCCAAAAACGTGACTTGAGTTAATACAAAAACAGGGAGAAGGAGAAGAAAACAAAAGTTACATCATTCCTGTGTTCTTCAACTTTGTACTTGGTCACTTTTTGAATTCCATATATTTATATCCATATATATTTATATATATATTTATATATTCTTTTTACAGTTAAAAACACCATGGAGTTGACAGACTATTTGGTTTCTTTTTGCCTAAGTGTTTCTCTTGTTTTTGTAAATAATTGCATGTAAATATTCTTTTTCTTCCGTACTGTCAGTCAGTGTAAAGGCGGTCAGTGTTCGATCCGTACAGAATGCATATCACCAGCACATTTTCCATGATATTACATGTTGTTTTTTTTCAATTCGGTGTCCTACAGAACACAATAGTCTGTCAAACACTGTCAAAGTGAAAGTCCTAAATGGAGTCCTCTCATTGGCTGATTTGGCCCAGGTCTCTGTGTGATAGGCTGGGGGTGAGCAGCTGTGTTTGCGTTGGTCCGTTGCAGCTCAACGCCCCGACACTTCCTCCATTAAGGTTCAGGAAGCAAACAGTTTCTCTCGCCTCCACTTCCTGCTTCCTGTTTGCCAACGCCAACTTCCTGAGCTGCTCCTGAGCCTCCTCCAATAGCAGCGCCACCTCATCCCGCTGCTGACCAATTGCAGAGGAGCAGGAAGTAGAAGACAACGCGACAACATGTGCTGCCGTTTTCTCTCTCCTTGCTTCCTTTCCTCCTCCTGAAGACATGGCCCTGGTTGCCGAGGAGACGCTGGTTTGCATACAAGACGCCTCGTTGTCGTGGTGATACTGGACGGAGGGGATGATGGGGATGGAGCAGGAGCGAAACGGAGGAGGCGGGGAGTTGCTATGGCGACGTCCGGGTTTACGTAGACTTCGGGTGTAAGGATTAGGATCGATTGCACCTGAACGCACCTCCACGCTCAAAGAAGATGGCGAGGATGTCTCAAAGGAAACAGGAGGCGTTTGCATATGAAGGAAAGCATCTCTTCTGGGGTCGACACATCGAGGATCGCCCTGCGTCTGACATCTCGGGAAGAAGGGGCTGGGGAATGAAGGGACACAGAAAAAAAGAAGATAATTGAGAATTAACCCTTGTTTAAAAAGCATACAAAATCTATTACAAATATTGTTTTTATATCAATTCCCAACATTTTAGATGTACATATGTGATTCTTGATTGCAAATACTTTCTGCTAGATCAAATTTAACACATGTATTTTGTATTATAGTTCTTATTTATGCAAAAATAATCCACTATAATAAAGACTTGGGTTGCATATTCATGCTTATTTTTGGGAATTTTGATATCAAACAATCTTTTCATACACGTTTCAAATTTAAAACAGATTTTCATTGTTAAAAGGACATAAATGTGTAGGGGGTCTTTTAGTATTTGTACTTGTTCTACTTCTTCATTCAATTAGATTCAGAATATGATCTATTCATTTAAATTTGCGAAATGTACTTCCAATCTTTTAAAGTAGACATACATACTAATTTCCCAATTTGGGATGAATAAAGAATATCTGACTCTAATCAAAAAAGTAAAACAAATATTGAATGCATTACTTATTTTTTAAAGTAAATATACTTTATTTCACAATTTGGGTATTTAATTTGCCAACTTTTTACAAATACTTATTTCATTTTGGGATTAATAAAGTATGTCTTATCTAAATCTTATCAAATCTAGCATGCAAAAGGAAAAGAAAAAATCATTACATCATGTTTTATCAGTTTCTTTACAGATAAGGCCATGAAGTTTCAGGTTTTACAACACATCCTTGTTTCACTTTTCTCTTATTTTTTTAAAGTTAAAACAGGTCACTTCGACCCGAACACCACTTTAGGGTTTAAAGGAGAAAACTTCCTCACTTCACCAGAAGTCATTTATGTCTTTGAGTGCAGTTTCTACTAAATCGCCTTTTTATTTTACTCCCACGCTGCAGAATACACCGAGGGACAGATCTACGCTCTTTGCCATCTCACAGAGGAGGAAGAGGGGGAAGAACATGGGCCGTGACATCTTTCTTTCATCTCTTTATATCTGAGTCCATGCACACACACACACACACACACACACACACACACACACACAAAAAAATCAAAAAATCCCAGAGTTTACTTTTTATATCATTGATTTAATGAAGAATGTTAAAAATAAGTTTAATTCAGTTCAGATTCAGTCAAGGACAAATTAAGTTATCGCTTGATGTCATTTCGATCGTTTATTTTCTGATTTTTAGTTCCAATTTTGGGTCATTTGATTGGTCTGAAAATCATTTTTTTCCAACCTATTTGTGCATCAGTTCAATTGAGTCTGTCTTCTTTCCCTTTTAGTGTCATCCTGATTCTTAGCCGTCATTAAACTCAACTGAATTAAATATGTTAAAGAGGACATAAAAAACACATTTTCAGGTGTTTATCAGTACCGTATGTAGTGTCTCTACTTTAAAGAGTCCTCTCCTGCTGATGTTCAGGTGTATATCAGTATGTAGTGTCTCTACTTTAAAGAGTCCTCTCCTGCTGATGTTCAGGTGTATATCAGTATGTAGTGTCTCTACTTTAAAGAGTCCTCTCCTGCTGATGTTCAGGTGTATATCAGTATGTAGTGTCTCTACTTTAAAGAGTCCTCTCCTGCTGATGTTCAGGTGTATATCAGTATGTAGTGTCTCTACTTTAAAGAGTCCTCTCCTGCTGATGTTCAGGTGTGTATCAGTATGTAGTGTCTCTACTTTAAAGAGTCCTCTCCTGCTGATGTTCAGGTGTATATCAGTATGTAGTGTCTCTACTTTAAAGAGTCCTCTCCTGCTGATGTTCAGGTGTGTATCAGTATGTAGTGTCTCTACTTTAAAGAGTCCTCTCCTGCTGATGTTCAGGTGTATATCAGTATGTAGTGTCTCTACTTTAAAGAGTCCTCTCCTGCTGATGTTCAGGTGTTTATCAGTATGTAGTGTCTCTACTTTAAAGAGTCCTCTCCTGCTGATGTTCAGGTGTATATCAGTATGTAGTGTCTCTACTTTAAAGAGTCCTCTCCTGCTGATGTTCAGGTGTATATCAGTATGTAGTGTCTCTACTTTAAAGAGTCCTCTCCTGCTGATGTTCAGGTGTATATCAGTATGTAGTGTCTCTACTTTAAAGAGTCCTCTCCTCCTGATGTTCAGGTGTATATCAGTATGTAGTGTCTCTACTGGGACATGTCTCCATGCTTTAATGTTCAAAAAGCTCTTTATTTTTCTCATACTGTCTGTGCTGCAGCACCTCTTTTCACCCTCTGTCTGAAACCAGAGCCCAGTCTGCTCTGATTGGTTAGCTGGCCGGCTCTGTTGTGATTGGTCAACCGCTTAGAGATGTCCCGCCCCTTAGCTTATCATGTACAGAGGCTCATCACCTTTTAAAGTCCTTGATGGTGTTCCAGCTACTTTTTGTTCTGTCACAGTTTCCCTCTGATGGTGTGTTATCTGTATTTAGGTCGAGTTAAGCCACATTACAAGTCTCTGATCTGTATCCTGTCATAACTTCACAGAGCCCAGACATAATCTCTCTCTCTCTAAGACTGACCGTGCCCTTCAGTGTTATCACAGTCCAAATCCAGCTGCATTCTCCAGCAGAGCCTCATTATCTTTGTGTAATAACTCATAATCCTCCGCAAAGGCTATCTTTTTCTGCCATGACAAAAATCCTTGTAATACCTCATCTCACGCCCTCTCCATCAATAGCAATGGGAGGAGAAGGTGGGTTTTTTCTGGTGACTCAAAGGAAATCACTTCGTCCTTTTATCGCCGCAGTTATTTGTTTCCTCGCCACAAAAAAACCAGAGTGGAGATTTAGCTTGACCACAGAGAAGGATCCCGGCAGCGATAAGAGAAGATGATGCGAGGGTGCTAATTCCCGAGATAACATTCACAGACAAATCTCTCTTTTGATGTGTTGAAACACAATCAGATTGCACAAATCTATGAAGCACAGTTCAAATATAAACCCTGGAGCGACAGGGGAGCAGCTGGAGGGGTTTTACACAGAGCGTGTGTGCAAGGTATAATCTGTTTAGAAAGCTAAGGGTGAAGCTAGGTTTCTTTTACAGGAACAAGGCCAGGAAAAGGCTAGTCACTGTGACCTTTTTACCTGTGCTGGACTATGGTGATCTGATATATATGAATGCACCTGCCCATTACCTGATCAAGTTAGATGTTGCCTATCACAGTGCTCTGAGATTTGTGACAAACTGTAAAGTATTAACTCATCACTGTACCCTGTATGCCAGGGCAGGTCTGCCTTCACTTACTGTTCGGAGACTCAGTCATTGGTACATGTTTATCTATAAAGCCATGCTGGGTAAACTACCAACTTATATCTGCTCTCTGATCTCACAGAGAGTGGCAAGTAGCTATTGCCTAAGATCCCAGGATGTGTTTTTATTACATGTGCCAAGTGCTAGGACTGTTTTAACACTTTTATGTGCGCAGCTCCTCTAGCTTGGAACACGCATTTTTGGCATCATTTTAAAGCACAGATTGATGAATTGATATTTGATACTCCTGGTACCTGTCTTTGTGAATACGTTTGTAAATGGTACCCCTGTCATTATGTTGTATGTGTCCTTTATGTTTTCTGTTACATGTGTAACCAATGTGCGGATAAATAAAATAAAGGACAAACAAATACCTAGTGACAAGTAAATACCGCTAGTCATCACATCGTCCGACCGGCCCATCAGGATCTGTCCCGAACGTCCCGATGGCCAGTCCGCCCCTGTTCCTGAGACATATTTGACCAAGCTTATTGCTACCTCTTGATATATACATTTTTGGATTAGACGGAACTACACATACATATTGACATGTACGCCTACGTTCAACTTAATATTATTGACTCAACTAATAATACAGTTATGTGAGATTTGTTGACATTACACATTTAATTAAAAGTCAACGTCTCAGTTGTTTCACTGATTGTCTTACTGAAGGCTGCGCGGTATCGCAAAAATGAGCGAGGGAGAAAATGTATGTTTCTGTAGAGATACTGCAAACAGTGGAGGAAAAATACAGAAATGCGTGCAGTGCCTCCATCAGCCATTTTGGAGACAGCTTTATCTTAAAATAGAAGTAACAACACAGGACATTCTGTCTCCCTGTCAGCCATTTTGTTGAGATAACTCAAGGCTTCTCTAACAGGCAGCGAATAGAGCGGGCGACCTTTCTTTTAAAGCCGTTTTCTAACTGTCATGTGCTATCTGCACACTGCTCTATCACTTCCTTTCACTGCCGCCGTTTCTTTCTTCTCTTACTATACTTACTAACACTTTCCTTCTGTGTCAGAATGGATTCAAACTGCTTGTCTCTCTCCGTTTTCTCAATTTTTCTCCGTCTCTCTGCAGCTCTCCCTCACTTTCTATGCAGTCATGGCCAAGTATCACCATGGCAACTCAGACTACCATGCTATGTGAAAGGGTGTCCGCCTGTTTATCTGCCGTTATGTGAAATCGTGCATTAGGGAATGAGTGAGTAGGTGTGCAAGGGACTTTTCAAAAGGAGCATGACCTCTTGCCATTTAGCAAAACCTCTCCATTGGTTCGTCATGAGCTAAAATGTGCAGCAGCTGTTCATGAATGCCTTTTATCAATTTTATTTCTGTGCTATGACATGCAAACACAGTGTATGGCAGCATTTGGGCAGCAAAGGACACTCCAGTGACATGTTGGCTCCCCAGAGAGTAACTTCCATTGACCGGAGAACAACGCTATTTGACCAGAGGACATATGGACCAAGTAAAACATATCTGGTCCAACCAAAGGATCCTGAAATCGTGCATTAGGGAATGAGTGAGTAGGTGTGCAAGGGACTTTTTAAAAGGAGCATGACCTCTTGCCATTTAACAAAACCTCTCCATTTGTTCGTCATGAGCTAAAATGTGCAGCAGCTGTTCATGAATGCTTTATTTTATAAAAAGGGGAATTTTTATGATGTGCTATGAAATGCAAATACACTGTATAGCAGCATTTGGGCAGCTGAGGACTCTTCTAGCTATCAGAAGACATGTTGGCTGACCAGAGAGTAACTTTGATGACCAGAGAACAACACTATTTGACCAAAAGTAAGGACAAGTCCTAGTAAAACATACCTGGTCCAACCAAAGGATCCTGAACCTGAGCAGAAGATATTTTTGTTTACCAGAAAGCGCTTGGACTGACCAGAAAGCAGTCGGGTTAAACCAAAGACATCAGGCCAGTCTGGAGGACACCTGACCAGTGAGCACTCAGACTAAACAACAAGACATTTTGGACTTATCATATGGACACTTGGGCGAACAGAGGACACTTGGGAAGCTTGAGAAGAGCTCTTTCGTTGAGGAGATGCACACTTAACAAGCTCAAGTGGCCCTCAGGAGTGACATTTAGGTTAGACAAAGGAGCGTGATTCTACATTTCTAAACACAGAAAAGAGGGACTGACTTTAAATGGCTGTCAACATTGTGAAGCTAACCAGCTAACGGGGCTAAAAATGCAAAAAATGGCTAACAGTGTTTGAAGAAAACGGAGGGTGGTTACTCCTCAGTCGCTACTATATCTTTACATAAGAAAACGTTGTTGGTTTATGTATTAATGTCCTGAATATTTAGTGTAACCAGAGGAAACTTAATAAGATTGAGGCTAAAAGGGAATCGGATTCTGCCTCCGTGTGCAAACCACTGAACTCACTAAATGCCTATAAACACGTCTAGCATTCTGACTCTATAGTATGTGGGAGTTTCTTTTCTTTTTTTGCCCAGCCATAGCTTCCTGCTCGTCCTCTTTCTATTAGTATGCATGTAGGTCATGTGGAGATTTATCCCCAGCCAGGACCGCCGGGACCTGAGCGCCTGAAGAGAGGCTTTCTAGTCCAGGTGGGTAAAAAAACGGACTCACAACACACCAAAAAAGAAGACACCTTTCACACCAAATACATTTCTTGCTAATCGCTCACACTGATCATTTTGCATTTACATTGCAGCCAAGGGAAATGCAAATGTTTTTCCTGATAATATTTAGATGCCTAGATTTAAACAGGGACTACTTCAACCGTACAACACACACCAACAAAAGAAGGGTAAACACACGACACCTTCCACACCAAATACATTTCTTACTAATCGCTCACACTGATCATTTGCATTTCCCTTGGCTTTTTCCTGATGATATTTAGATGCTAAGATTTAAACGGGGACTTTTGCATGGCATTGAAAAGCCGAGAGTCATGATTTAGCTCAGGCTTGACACGATGTCGGACAGGGAAACGACAGAGAGAAGAATCTGGATGTGCATCGTGTCCTTAAAAAGCACGAGCACCCGTTCCTTTGAACTCGTGCCACTGTGCTGCAGACCACTACATAACGTGACCTTGTTTTTATCTTCGCTCAGCAGATTGGAAACAAAGGGATGGGGGTTTGGGGATTAAAGAAGGTTGAAAAAAAAGAGAGAAAGAAATGCACTATATATATTTTTTTTTGTTAAAAGACAATCACAGAATTGCCTTTGAAATATCCACTCCTGAAATGAAATCCAAAGCTCTGTCCACTGCATTTTTCAGTTAGTGGCTTTCATTGAAATGACTCAGCACATGGAGGATATACAGCAAAGGGAAGAAAGACGGGATAAAACCTTTAAAATACTCTTGATTCTTAAGCTGTAATTCCATCTAAACCAGTCTTGGTCTGTCTGCATTGCAAGAGCCGGCAAACACAGAAAGCTTCAGCGGACTATTCGTCAAAACTAGATTTCTATTTTTATGATGAAGTTGTGTCAATCATTTCAAGTTAAATATATATCTCCTTTATTTAACCAGGTAAAAGTCTCATTGAGATTAAAATATATTTTTCAAGAGCGACCTGGCCAAGAGGGCAGCATGAACAAAGTTTCAACAAATGAACACAAAACGATAAGGGCAGACGAATACAGCTGTAAAACACAAATGAAACGGCACATTAACCACTCAATAGAGTTACTGTACTTAAGTACATTGTTCTGGTATCAGTACTTTACTCCACTACTTATTTTCCTGACGACTTTTTACTTTGACTTCTTACATTTTGAACACAAATACCTGTACTTTCTACTTCTTACATTTTGAACCCAAATACCTGTACTTTCTACTTCTTACATGTTGAACACAAATACCTGTACTTTCTACTTCTTACACTTTGAACCCAAATACCTGTACTTTCTACTTCTTACACTTTGAACACAAATACCTGTACTTTCTACTTCTTACATGTTGAACACAAATACCTGTACTTTCTACTTCTTACATGTTGAACACAAATACCTGTACTTTCTACTTCTTACATGTTGAACCCAAATACCTGTACTTTCTACTTCTTACATGTTGAACACAAATACCTGTACTTTCTACTTCTCACATTTCCCAAACAGGCTGGTTCCTTTAGTTTGAATGTGTGTTTGGTGGCGTGATCATTATTATTTAGAGTCATTGCGTGCCTATTGATTTGAACACGATCCGTGTATCCATCATTTCCTGGTCTTCTCTAAAGAAGAGGGACCAATGAAAACGTTGTCATGTTGCCGTTGTTCAGCATGGAAACATTCATTTGCTAACAATGACATTATTGTTCTATTAATATAAAGGGAGGTCAGGTACTCTTTAAAACAGCTGCTAGTTATGGGTACTTTTTACTGAAGTACATTTCAAAGCCCTCTTTACTTTGACTTGAGTAAAGAAGATCAGTCAGTACTTCTACTTTTACCAGAGTATTTTTAAACACGAGTATCTGTACTTCTACTTGAGTAAAGGATGTGTGTACTTTTGCCATCTCTAGTCAATATGCAAATAAAAGAAACTATTATAATACATTAAAAACTGGCACAATTAAACACATTGTAATCTACCCTTCAGTACGTTCCCTCACCCTCTCTGAGCCTCAGCCTCCCTCTCAGAAGAGTCCACTTCCTGGAGATGTTGGTAGGCGGGGCCTGAATACTTGGATCCTCCAATCGGATTCAGCCTTCCCCTCGGGATGGGCGGGGTCCTGCGTGGAGCCGACCAATGGGAGGCCCGGGTTCTCTGATCCGGGCTGTGAGACAGGGAACCACTTCTAGGAATACAGAGAAGAAGCCAAAACATATATTATGGTTTATCATACTATTACCAGACAATATCTGGTTTGCATACTGCACATATTTTCTATTTTATTGCACTCTATTTCAATGTAAATTACTGCTTTATTTTCTATTTCGCTATCTTTTTTCTTATTTTTTTGTAATGTTATTATCGTGTTCTTAAAATAGTTTGCTATCTGTGTTTTTCTTTATTTTTTTTGTACTTTTATGTATGCACCACGACACCAAGTCAAATTCCTCATACGTATCAACCTACTTGGTAATAAACCTGTTTCTGATTATCTGATAGAATATCTTGTTAGGTGTTTCACTTTTGGAATATGTGGCTGTCCATATGGAGATTTGTGTAATAATTGATTGGATTTGAGTGGGTTCATTAGCAGCTCAGGTCACATGTAGCTGCAGGCAGATTGTATAGATTGATTGTTGCTAATCTTTCTGTTTGTTAATTGGTTTTGCATCATGGAGTTGCCACTGTTGGTGGTTCTGTTTGGATGAAAACCGCAATTTGGATTAGTTCTATTTATCTTTTTTCATTGGGGACTGACAGTCCTCCTTTTTTAGATTGATATTTTTTAGAATTAATCTGTGCAAATCAGGTTGAGGTAAGCTTTTCTGTTGCTCTGTTTTGGATTAAAGACATTTTGTAATCAGTGAAAAATAATCAAACTAGTTTGTATCAACATAAAACCACAGTTACAAATCTGGATTGAACTACATTTATGAAACTCATCTGCAACCAGGTGTTTTGTACACTATTGGCACCTTTCTGGTTTTCTTTGCAAAAGTACTCAGATCTTGTACTTGAGTAAAAGTAGAAGTACTCAGATCTTGTACTTGAGTAAAAGTAGAAGTACTCAGATCTTGTTCTTGAGTAAAAGTAGAAGTACTCAGATCTTGTAGTAAAAGTAGAAGTACTCAGATCTTGTACTTGAGTACAAGTAGAAGTACTCAGATCTTGTTCTTGAGTAAAAGTAGAAGTACTCAGATCTTGTACTTGAGTAAAAGTAGAAGTACCAGAGTGTAGGAATACTCTGTTACAGTAAAAGTCCTGCATTCAAAATGTTCCTCAAGTAAAAGTAGAAAAGTATTCTCATCAAAATATAGTGAAAGTAGCGACAGTAAAAGTAGTCGTTGTGCAGATTGGTCCATTTCAGAATAATATATATGATATGTTTTATAATGATTGATCATGAAAGTGTTCTCAAAGCTGGTAAAGGTGCAGCTAGTTTGAATGACTTTGTATACTGCAGGGTAGCTTGTGGATTTACTCCAGGTGGAACTAAAGTCTGATTTAACACTTGATTATATTTCACATCATTCATCCACATCTGTGAAGTAACTAAAGGTATTAAATACATGTAATGGAGTATAAGTACAGAGTAGCATCAAATTGAAATACTCAGTACCTCAAAATGTTACAGTACTTGAGTAAATGTACTTAGTTACTTCCCTGCTCTGAAATCAAGAATGATAATAGGACATTAGTTCCTCCTAGGATCATAGTTTCTGAATTTTCCCAAAGGTTACTGGAATATATCCTGCAGTAGAAAAAGGTCTACAAAACTACATCTGGTTAGTTACACATCTTTCAAGGAAAAGTGTGATTTTTCTCTCTTAGAAAAGTATGTTGCATTACAATACTCTGAAAGCATGAAGTTACAGTATATGCATGTCCTCTTTGCTTCCATCCAATCTGTCAAAAGAGATTTTGCAGCCAGAAAATACATAAGTACATTTCGACTTGCTTTACCAAAGTAGCAAATGTCCTCTCCAGGCACTCATTCTTATTTAACACCGCTGCTTTAGAGGAGAGATTCGCTTTTAAAATGTTGATTCTTAGCCACAACAACTGAGCCGTGCTTTCTGTAATAGTGTTGGCAGAGTTTTCTATAAACACATTCAAACGAGATATTTCCGAGACACAGAATTAGCCTTGGTAAGTTTATTTTTGCCTTTTTTGTTGAACTGTGGTGTCCCAGAACTGCCCGACAATAGTGTCCAAGTCTCTGCCTATAAGCTGATGTGATTGCAAACAAATAAACCCACTAAGAAAAACATTTGTGGTTAGAGCACTGCCAGCCAAGTAATCCTGTGATCGACTCACTCTTCACTGAGAGAGCGAAAAGGAAAGAGAAGGAGGGGAAAACGTCTGGCACGACTTTAGCCCAAAGGTTAGAGGAGTGAATGTTGTGGTTTTGAAGGTCGTCTCATAGTGTTTCTACTTTGTCTGAGAAAATCTCTGCTCAAATACCGCCTGGATCCTTCTGAAAAAACCTGATTAACCCTCGGCTTGTGCAGAGAGGTTGTTAAGCAGGAGAGGAAGAAAACCACGAGTGTACTGAGGTGTGAAAGTCTCTAACTGGACCGCACTGAAGGAGTGTGAAGTCAAAAAAAGAGAGAAGTGAACTAATTTAAGTAGTAATTTAAAGAGGACATATAATGCTTACTTTTAGGTTCACATTTGTATTTTGCGCCTCTACTGTGACATGTTTACATGCTTTAGTGTTGAAAAAGCTCTTAATTGTTCTCGCACTGTAAAAAATCTTGCAAGTATATTCGTCTAATTTCTAGTCAGAATATGTCGATATAAGACCTAATAACTGAAGAGGTTACAATGCAGTGAGATAGAGGGTCTTGTTTTTAGACAATGCATCTTCAAGACTCTTGAAAACATCTTATTTTGTATCTTAAATGAAATGGTAACACTTTATATTAAGGTACACAAATTAACCATCAACTAGTTGTTAATTAACATGCATATTAGCAGTATATTGGCTCTTTATTAGTCATTATAAAACACTTATTAATGCCTTATTCTGCATGACCATATTCTACAAGTAATAAGCCATTAGTTGAGAGTTTTTCCTCAATAACCCTCTAATTAGTGCTTATTTATTGCAAGTACATGAGTTTGGGTCTTAATATGCTCAATATGGGCCTAATAAGGCAGTAGTACCACAAGAATAGTAATTCTCCCATAATAACACCTAACAAATATGATCTATTCTTATGTAACAAGACATGAAACTAAAGTGTTAATTGTGTCAAAATAACTCAAAATTAGGTATTTATATCTAAGAATATGTTCCCTATTTTAAAGTGAAGTCTTGTTCATAACCAATAAGCTAGTAGTTTGTCTCTATCTTAATGAACAACTAGTTGATGGTGAACAAGTGTACCTTAAAGGTGGGGTATGTAATTTATTTCAGAAACACTTTTTGTTATATTCCATGGAATGCTCTTAACATCCCGATAGCAATGAATATATGAAATGCTTTGACAATAAATCCATAAAAAAATGTCATCTGTGGAAGCCGTAATACTGTAAAAAGCACGACCAATCATCTGAGCCGGCCCGGCTAAAATAACTGGATGGCCTACCTGCCTGTCAGCCTTCCATCGGGGCACAAACTTATCTCGTGCCCTCATTGGTCATGTGCGCGTTCGTGTGTGTTGGAGGAGGGGCTCTGTAAGGAAGTGGCAGATTTTTTCCGGTTGTGTATTTTCAAATTCTAGCGCACTCAAGCTGGTTTCTCAAAATGACCTACCCCACCTTTAATCTAAAGTGTTACCAACAATTCTTATTGGAAAATCACCAACTAACATCAGAAAACTGAAAACTATTTTGTAACAACATTTACTGTTCCTGGTAAGATATAGTTCAAAATAAGTTCTCCCAGCTAATCACAAGATCTCCTTTATCTAAATATCCCGTCTTATTTCAAGAAATCTTACCAAGCAAATGTTCACTTGTTCTATTGGCAGATCGTTTGACTGATTACAAGCGAAAACACCTTGTTTTCATTATTCTTTTACTTGATTTTGGAGCAGCATTTTTTCCAGTGCATGTGTGGAAGAGTTTATTGATTTTGTCTACTTTAATTCAACCCACTTTGACCAACCCTGACATTCTTTCTTATAATGAACAAGTAAGTCAGACCAGTTTTTATAGCGTTTATTCTGTGTAAAAATGTGCACGTTTACCTGACTTTTTAAGTGGTAACAGGACAATGAAAGTGAATGAATCAGTCTAAAATGAGTACATATTTAACTTGTGGTATTTTATGACTTTGCTGGAAGTATGTCCTTTAAACAGATAAGCACTTTAAATACACTAAATTCAGAGGCATTTTTTAATTGCATGATTTTTTCATAGTTTTGTTTCACATGTGCATTGTCAATTTGAATGTTTTTATAACTAAGCAGGTTATAAACTACGTTTTCTAGGTAACTTTAGTAAAGTGTTTATGCTCTCAAAGTAGCTAACACGACATCGACTACTTTTCTGATTTCCCCGCTACATTGTCAAAGATTTAATAAAGGTTTTTCTTCATGATAAAGGCTGTCTTTTCGCTATTTCTCACACAGTAAAACACTAAAACCTGGGGCAGAGTATAAAACCATGAAAATGAATATTAAAGAAGTACAGCAGCTCTCTCCTCTTTGCCTCAGATTGTCGAAAATGTTTGTATTGTAACACAAAAATCCATCCTTGGCAGAGATGTAAATTCCAACTCTGTCAGAAGTAGTGTGTGTGTTGGAGAGTGTGTGTTAGAGAGTGTGTGTGTGTGTGTGTGTGTGTGTGTGTGTGTGTGTGTGTGTGTGTGTGTGTGTGTGTGTGTGTGTGTGTGTGTGTGTGTGTGTGTGTTGCTCCTGATGAACATGCCAGCGCTCTCACACACCACTGAGCAATGTGAGAATAAAGAAATCAGCCTAGGCTTTACATCCCAGCGCTGGCTCGTAAATGAAAATCCTCGCACATGTGCTTCCCATATTATCTCCGCCTCATCTCCTCCTCACTGCTATAGATATGCTTATTAACATGTTTAGAGCTTTAATTATAATTACTATCATTCTTCCGTAAATTAGCAATTAGCTCTGGCTGCTCTGTAATGTGGATAATTCAATTTCTCTCTTCACTGCGTCCCTGCTCATTACAGGAGAGGACACTGAAGTTGCCTTTTGTTTGTTTAATTTGTATTATTGTTGTTTTCCTGCAGTGAACGGAGGGGGTGTCTTTATCTCCGGTGTGATATTACACCTGCATGCAGAGGTGGGAAGTACAAATACTTCGTTACTGTACTTAAGTACATTTTTCTGGTATCAGTACTTTACTCCACTACTTGTTTTTCTGACGACTTTTCACTTTGACTTCTTACATTTTGAACACAAATACCTGTACTTTCTACTTCTTACATGTTGAACACAAATACCTGTACTTTCTACTTCTTACATTTTGAACACAAATACCTGTACTTTCTACTTCTTACATTTTGAACACAAATACCTGTACTTTCTACTTCTTACATGTTGAACAGAAATACCTGTACTTTCTACTTCTTACATTTTGAACACAAATACCTGTACTTTCTACTTCTTACATTTTGAACACAAATACCTGTACTTTCTACTTCTTCCATGTTGAACCCAAATACCTGTACTTTCTACTTCTTACATTTTGAACACAAATACCTGTACTTTCTACTTCTTACATGTTGAACCCAAATACCTGTACTTTCTACTTCTTCCATGTTGAACCCAAATACCTGTACTTTCTACTTCTTACATGTTGAACCCAAATACCTGTACTTTCTACTTCTTACATTTTGAACACAAATACCTGTACTTTCTACTTCTTACATGTTGAACACAAATACCTGTACTTTCTACTTCTTACATGTTGAACCCAAATACCTGTACTTTCTACTTCTTACATGTTGAACCCAAATACCTGTACTTTCTACTTCTTACATGTTGAACACAAATACCTGTACTTTCTACTTCTCACATTTTCCAAACAGGCTGGTTCCTTTAGTTTGAATGTGTGTTTGGTGGCGTGATCATTATTATTTAGAGTCATTGCGTGCCTATTGATTTGAACACGATCCGTGTATCCATCATTTCCTGGTCTTCTCTAAAGAAGAGGGACCAATGAAAACGTTGTCATGTTGCCGTTGTTCAGCATGGAAACATTCATTAGCTAACAATGACATTATTGTTCTATTAATATAAAGGGAGGTCAGGTACTCTTTAAAACAGCTGCTAGTTATGGGTACTTTTTACTGAAGTACATTTCAAAGCCCTCTTTACTTTTACTTGAGTAAAGAAGTTTAGTCAGTACTTCTACTTTTACCAGAGTATTTTTAAACACGAGTGTCTGTACTTCTACTTGAGTAAAGGAAGTGTGTACTTTGCGCTCTCTGCTGTGATTTAATGTCTTACCTGGGATGTTTGGCCGCGCCTCTGGAGCTGGAGATATTGGTGCCGTGTGCAAAGCTGGACTCAGAAACGGTTCCCTGGCGAGACTGGGAGGAGCGTTTGAAATACTGCGGGAAACAAACAACAACAACAAGGTTTTATTACCGTCAACGTGTCAGATACATTACAACTGAAACGATGGTGTTGGAGATGTTGTCATTTCATACAACACAAAGTGTTCCCAGATAAAGATAAAACCTTTCCTTTTTCTTAAGCACGGTATATTCACACATTTCTTTCTCAGATGCTGAGACCCTCGAGGCCTTTCTGCCTTGATTCAGTTGATTGTCAGAGTCTAGTTACATCTATTTCTGCTTCAAAATCATTCTTGCTTTCAGGGATTCAGGAACATTGCACTGTGTGGAGAGGAGAGGGCGGCTGCATGTTGATAAAGTAAAATCTTCTAGCAATGGTGGCAACGTCACTGAGGTCAAGATTTCACGAATGACGGCTAAAAAGCTAAAGAAGAAAACAGAGATAGCTTTGAAAGACTGCTGTGAATGTATTTATGATTGTATTATTGTCAAATGTATCTGCTCAAAATAGCAATATGTAAAATAACCATTTCGGCTTTATAAATGCACAGTACTGTTGCAAAGACCCTATAACTTACAGCACTTTGAACTGCCGTTGTATCTGAAATCTGCTTTTATAAATAAACTAACCTTAACCTTAACCACATCCCCCGTTAGACCACCAACACAAAACAGACTTTAACAGTTGTGCAATACCTCTACCTGTACATATAAAAACTGTTGTGAAATGCCTCTGATCATGTGCAATATATTCTACACTTATGTGCAATTTGTGCAATTACAATTTGCTAACGTTACTAGCTCAAACTCACTTTATGTAAATATTACTACCTATTTTTCTCCACATTTGTACTTACTTAGACTTTTCATTTGCACTGTACCTCTGCTACTGTAATAATAATAATACATAAGATTTGTATAGCGCTTTTTCCCAATGCTAAAAGATGCCGTACATTTCCTCACTGAGCGGACGAATAAAGGATTTCTGATCCTGATCCTGATTAAGATATGTAGGTATATTAGCTTTTTCACTGCCCACCACATTTTTGGCTATATATACACTTAAAGAAAATCCCCCAAATTATTGAAATCAAACAATTTTGTGAAGAGAAAGATTTGTTTTAGCTCCACATTTTTGCATATTTACTTACAATGTGCTGACGTTACTGGCTCAAACTCACTTTTGAAAAATATAAAAAAAATTCTCCACATTTGAACCTACTTAGGCTTTTGTTTGCACTGTACCTTCGCTGCTGTAACACGGTACACTTCCTCACTGATTATGACAGTGTCTATTAGCTATTTCACTGTCCGAGAAGTTGAGAAAAACTTACAATGTTAATGGGAACGTATGTGGTATCAACTGGTCCCTTACAACGCATTCATGTCATTTAAAAGTTTCCCCACGTGAGGTGAGAGTAACAAAAAGTTGTCGTTATAGTTTTAAACAAATGTGAAGAAGCAAAAACATATTCCTCTCTTTGTCCATTGCTGTTTTATTACATTATTGGATGTTTTCACACTTAAAGGTTTCCCAGAAATGATAGGAATGATACAATTTGAGAAGAGAAACATTTGGTTTAGCTTCTCATGTAGACATTTCTTCTAAGTTGATAACGCCATGTTTTGAGAGCGATTCAGACAAATGCAATAACTCCAAATCTCGCTTACAGCAGCTTTTCCCAGGACATGAGAATATGAGTTATTTCAAAGCCTTAAGCTAATTGAAATATATGAAATTGACTTTGTGATAACAGCCTTTGTAGTAATGTATACATGCACATCGTTTGCATATCATCCGATCTCTCTGAGTCTGATCCATTTCATACGTTTTATCATCGTTAGGCAGAGAAGTCATAATCATTAATAAGCACTGAGTTCATCAGTTGGAACGTTTATCAGTAATCTATGCAATTACGTTTCAGTACATTTAAATAAAGAAATATTCGGATCAAATGGGGAATTAAAACATGTAGAGATGGAGAATCACAAAAACAGCACATAAGACCCTTTTTACAGAACAAAACACAGTGAATAAGTCACTATGATGATTTTCTGACGAGATTTACCACATGTCCTTCGCTTAGTTCAGAAATCCATTCCTTTTATACTACTGCTGTATATCTTTCTCTTTACTGCTTTGCCGTCCCTTTGAATCTCTTTCTCATCCACAATGATCCTTCCTCCGTCCCTTCTCCTTCCCTTTGCAAACCGTCATGACAGCATTTCTAAATCAGCACTAAAGTGGTCCTATATAAGTCCCAAGTTCACCCTTTTAACTGTTTCCATGTTCACCCTATTCTCTGGAGAGACCCTGGATGCGATGAGGCAAAACTAGCAAACCACATGAATGTCTGGGAGCAAATTCATTTTATATGCTACACAAATATGGCCAGGATCCGTTGAATTTTCAGAATATACAGTGGTGCAGTGACAAGTCCTAAAACCCCGAAGTGAGTTAGCATTTTACCCTCGTCTCAGAGCCAATGGGATTTCTCCATAGGATTTTGGAAAATAGCTGGAAATAAGGTCTGTGGTTGAGACACATTGAAGAGACGGATCACGTTATGTTCTACGACATTAAATCCATCAGCAGTGACCCCACTGGTGATTTCTGAAGAGTTGACGTGTCTGAAAAACGATGGTTGTTACCAAGTGGCTGAATAGGACTACAGAAGTTGTCGAGGACGTTGTACGTCATTACGCCGAACACGTAAACACTCCCTCTAAGTTTGTTTGCCCTGTTCTGCTTGAAAGCAAGTACCTGCCTCCTGCAAACTGTTCAAACAAACGCTTCAACTTGTACAATTTAGAATCTGTGTGTTTGAATATGGATCTTAAGTTGGCGTGACGTTGAAGTCGTGCTGCTGTACTCGGCTGTAGTTGCTTTATGGCATAACGTTAGCATTTTGCTTCTGGCCATTAGATTTATGATTCGAAAATTATAAAAGTAGGGTAGACATGTGGAGATTATCCGGCTGAACAAAATGTGCATTTATCAAACAGGTTCGGTTTCCACAGACCTTATTTCGAGCTATTTTCCAAAATTACATTACATTGCATTTAGCTGACGCTTTTATCCAAAGCGACTTACAATAAGTGCATTCGACCAAGAAGATACAAACTTGAAGAAGACAGAATCATATAAGTACATCAGGTTTCATAGAACCAAACCATTTCAAGTGCTACTCAACTATCTTTAGATAAGCCAGTCCTTTATTAGTATATAAGTGCTTCGTTAGTCATTTTATTGCTCAAAGTGGAGTCGAAAGAGATGAGTTTTCAGTCTGCGCTGGAAGATGTGTAAGCTTTCTGCTGTCCTGATGTCAATGGGGAGCTCATTCCACCATTTTGGAGCCAGGATAGCAAACCCACGTGTTTTTGCTGATGGGAACTTGGGTCCCCCTCGCAGTGCTGGTGCAACGAGCCGTTTGGCCGATTCAGAGCGGAGTGCACGTGCTGGGGTGTACAGTTTAACCATGTCCTGGATGTAGGAAGGGCCAGATCCATTCACAGCATAGTACGCAAGCACCAGTGTCTTGAAGTGGATTCTAGCAGTTACTGGAAGCCAGTGAAGTGAGCGGAGGAGCGGTGTCCAAAATCCGATGGAGAAATCCCATCGGGGTTTTTTTGTCGAGGGAACCCATGCGCAGCTTACTTCCGGGTAAACACGTCATCCCTGCACCTCTCTATTGGGTGGCAGATTAACATTTTCCAAAGGGGGGTTCGTTTAGCATGAAACACTTGAAATAACTAACGGATAAGTTAAATAAGAAAGTAGAAAGAAAGTGAGGTCATAGAAAACTATTTCTGCTAAAAAGTGAGCAATGATTGAGAGTCAGAGCTAAACATTTCAGATGTGTGTATCTCACACTGCACTGTCACTTTAATTAACTTTGTTATTCATGTTTTATTATCTTTGCTTTTAAATGAGTGTTTTGTAATGCCATTTTATGTTTCTTAATGCTCTTAATGTCTTTCATTTTTGTAAAGCACTTTGAATTGCCTTGTGCTGAAAGGTGCTTTATAAATAAACTTGCCTTGCCTTGCAACAAAACATTTTTTTTATTTGCCGCATCGCGATGACGAGACAGACTCAACATCTGCAGTGAACTCAGAAGAACACGATGCAACACAAGAAACATTTTTAGATTTTAAACTTTAAACACTTAAGATGTGAGGAGAGTGGCGCTGGTTTGATTTCTTAACTTCTACACCATGTGACAGTTTTCTCTCCTCAGCATCGTCTAGATGTCTAATAGACTTTTGCAAGAGACCTCATTTTTGGCACCATATCTTTCTGAGTTTCATGTCCTGCTAACAAGGTTGTCACTGGTATTCTCTTGTTAGCACCCTCTGGCCTCATTAGCGTCACAGATGCTGCAGAATGTGACCGTTCAGACGTCTGATGGCTGATTGGTGCTCGTTAATCCATGACATACTTTCTTTATTAACTTGAATCATAGACATAGACTACCACCTCCACTGAAGTAGAGATGTAGATGATTAGAAAGCATGCTAACGATCTCAGAGTGAAGGAGAGAGACTTTTGCTCTTACAAAAGTCCTACCTACCTACCTACCTACCTACCTACCTACCTACCTACCTACCTACCTACCTACACCTATACCTATACCTATACCTACCTACCTACCTACCTACCTACCTACCTACCTACCTACCTACCTACCTACCTACCTACCTACCTACCTACCTACCTACCTACCTACCTACCTACCTACCTATACCTACCTACCTACCTATACCTACCTATACCTACCTACCTACCTACCTATACCTACCTATACCTACTTATACCTACCTATACCTACCTATACCTACCTACCTACCTACCTACCTACCTACCTACCTACCTACCTATACCTACCTACCTACCTACCTATCTATCTATACTGAAATATATCATGTAACATCCTGTCTTAAAGTGGAATAAATCAACGTCATGCTTGCAAGGGAGTAGCATGGATACATTTTGTTTAATCAAAGTGACACCATTTAAAATACTAGCAGTC